ATACAAATCCTCTAAATTGTCTGAAAATTCAAACTGTCGTATAAACTTATTCTTTAATGCAAGGGACCTCAAACTTGGCCATTCTAGTATTTTTAATATGCTCTTTCCATTTCTGGCATTCTTTAAGTTATAGCCCTTAATAAAAATTTTTAAAAGAAAAAATGTGGTCACGTGACCCCAGCTGCAAAGAGCCTATTGAATTCCTAACAAGAAGGGTAATTGAAAATTATATCGATTCACTGATTACAGTCATGCTGCCAGTTGGGTAATAAACTTACAATCTTTGAAGGCTACGGAGGCCACGAAAGGCGTTACCATCAATATGTTTGATTCGGTTTCCATGAAGGAACCTATAAACGAAACAAATTCAAACCAAGCAAACAGCTAGAAACAATTGGGACATGCAGGGAGCTGGAAATGGCTGTTTTGTAACATTTCATATATTCCTGAGACAGAAGTAATCTTCAATGTAAAGATTACTCTGAAAATAACTCATTGTGGAAACTACAGTCACCGACAGCGGTCCTTTTTAAGACTGTTCCATGCAGCCCAGATGATCACGCCAGACGAACTACTATTATTCGCAGTCCTAAGTACTTTTATGAAATCGTTTTTAGTTAGCTGATATTTCAATTGTCTGTTAGGCTCAGTTTAGACAATACAACGTTTTCACATTAGCCAAAATTGCAGCAACTCTACAGCACAAATCCTTTCGTGTAAATTAAACCAAGAACTTGGCGATGAATGACGTGGATACATATGAGACCAAAATGTCGAANTTTAATATGCTCTTTCCATTTCTGGCATTCTTTAAGTTATAGCCCATAATAGAAATTTTTAAAAGAAAAAATGTGGTCACGTGACCCCAGCTGCAAAGAACCTATTTGCAAGGATACTTGAAGATCCTTGAAAGTTTTTCACCCCAGGATGAAAGCTGGGTAAAGAGAACTCATCCAGTCACAGTACAATACATTACAGGAAAGCTGGTGCATATTAAACTATGTTAAGGGTGTGTTAATTATTCATGGGTTGGGGTTGGGGGAGGGGGGGAATTGGTAAAATCATGGAAGGAGAGGCAAGAAAGTTTTAGATTTGGGAATAGGGAGGTCATGAGAGCTTTGGGGGTGTTGCAGGGAGGGGAGGGAGTCATAAATGTGCTCCTAGTTTTAGACAGAAAAACAATCTACCTTTTAGGACACTGATAAAGATTGTTTAAGTTTTGTTTTTCTCTGTTAATTCTAAAAACTTGTTTTCTCTTTGCATGTTAAGTAACGTAGCCAATTTCATTCATCAGAGACTATGGCTAAGTCAACAGAGTGAGCGTAAAATGTGTTCCATCATCATCTCCACATTTCCTGTCATTCAAGACGTAAGTGTCAATGTAGTCATGATTGTGGCTGATAAATCCATGGGAGGGTGGGTTGGGACTTTTTTATCATTGACAAGGATGCTGATTATACCTTTCGAGGAACTTAAGAAGTGAATTTTTTTTTTGTCATTAATGTGAATGTCTTTTTTTTGGGAGGGGGCGGGGGCAGGGAGATATGGCTCTTAACAACCACTCACCAGTAAATGAGTATTCATTGGGAGCTTGGTAACGCTCTACCTCTCTCTCGGTATATATTGGTAAATTGTAACAAAGGTATGGATCGCACTTGGGAAATCTTTGCCAGAATTTGTGTACTTTGCGGTGAAAATCTGTCATCGAGGGCCTATGCCTAGTGCGACCGTAGGTTTTCCGCTTTGGCAAAAACTTTGCGAATCGGCAAATCATCAAAGACGCCGTAGTGCTTGGGTGGGGCAGGCAGATTTTCGAAAAGTCGAGCCAAACAATGGGAATCACAGCGGTAACTGTCAACGCTTGTCAGCGTAACATGAAAAACGATACGCGCGGGAAGTTCAGTTCTAGTTCGCGGTC